TATATAAAAATCACACACACACACACACACACACATATATATATATATATATATATATATATATATAAATTGATTTGAAATTGTAATCAGTAATGGAATAATATCTCATCGTAAAGTTTGGTGCACGAGTTCCTTTTGTTGTCACGATGTCGCAATACTTTTCTTTCATTTTGGTTTATTTTGAAACACATTTCATATATTGAAATTCACCAATGTGCCAGTGGTTATTTACCCAGGGATGAGAGAGCGTGGGAGGAAAATGGCATCGACTGCTGATGCTTCTTAAAAACGAGCTTTTAGTTTTCGTGATAGAAGAACGAGGTTAGTGCCGTTTCAACAAATGCAGATTGACAATGGCGTAGACACATTATTTTGACTACCTGGCTTCTTTTTACAAACGAATATTATTTTGAGTAAGAAAATAAAAACATATATTTACCTGAATTCTACACACACACACACACACACACACACACACACACACACACACACACACACACACACATATATATATATATATATATATATATATATATATATGATAAAATATATTTTAAGTTATTCTATATTTATGTGCTCAACATTAGAGATAGAGCGTATGTAAATATAAAAGTGGACATTGAAGTCAACACCCAAAGGCGACTGGCCATCTGCGTTGTGTTTTTGCTCGACTATTTATATATACATGTCAGTGATGCATTGTGGGTAGTCTATTGTATTGCATTGTTGGTAGTCTATATATTATTAATATATTATATTATTCTAACGGATATTTAGGTGGGCGGTAACGGTTTTCTTTCGTGTTATTCAAGTGGCTATTGAGTGCGAATGCAGTTTTTGGGTTGTTTATGGTGTTGTTTGTTAACTTGAAAAGAAATTTTAAAAGAAATTTATTATTGAATATTTTATTGTTGGTTGTTATTACTACGTTTTTTTTGTTTATCTGTGCGTTCATAGGTTTGTTAATTTGTTAATTTGTTTATTAGTTACTTATTTGTTTTGATAATTTTATTTTACTTATTTTTTTTAATTTAATTTTATTTATTCATTTTCGTTTATTTTTAGTCGTTTTCAGTTTTCGATCTTTAAGTAACGTAGTAAAAATTGTTTTCGTGTCTGTATTTTGGGATGGGTTCTGATCGTTTATTTAGTAATTTGTGTTGGTCTGGTAATTGTATTTATTGTTTAATACAGGCAGAGTTTGTAGTTTTTGGACACACAAAACATAGCCTTATAAATATATATATATTAGTCAAAGAGGAGGCTTGGATTGTGGAATCGGAGAGCCGAGTTTGAATTACAACCGAATCCATTACATTCTCTTATGTGCTCTATGCTTTACGGTTGGTGGGATACAGAGGATTGGAATTCTTTCACCAACACTTTGCCACACATAGACCCTCCTATTTGACCCAAAGTTTTAGAAATTTGAGTCATTAGTCCAAAGGACTTTATTCTACTGCTTTCCAGTTTTTGTGTCCCTTGGCCCACTGCAGATTCATCAACAATGGTTTCTTGACAGTAATTCGATCACATGGGCCAACTTCACAGGGTCTGCTCCTCACAGTGGATTGATTCAATTGTGCAGTGATGTTTGGAGTAGTCGCCTTCTGTCACGAAAGCTGGTGACTCTGATGAAATTGTCCCCTGCTCTTGTTGTTTTTGGTCTACCAGCCCTACTTTTGGTCTTGTTTTGTCCCGTTTCAGTATAATCCACCTAAATTCTGGAAATTTTTTTTTAAAATTTCTTTGCTTGAATATTCTTCTTCTTTTTTTTTTTAAGGTAAAGAACTCTTGTCTTTGTTCAAGGGTAAGTTCCCGTGTTTTGGGTATTAATTTAATCCAGAAGAAAGTTGGAAAATTTAGGTTATAATTTAAACAAAATAAGAATAACAGATTTCACAACTGGGAAAGGTACATTGGCAGCAAAGTTAAAACAGATAGTATCTAGCAAGCAGTAATTCAACATAATAGAATCTAATGTAAGTTCAAGTGGTGGTATAATGTAATTTTTGGAAAAGGTTTTATTCATGCTCAGTACTAAAGAAGAAAAACACCTTCAAATCAATTTTTCAAAAGATATCTGGTTATACTAAAGTCAAAGTTACTATGGAAGATTTGTATTTAGTATAATAAATAAAGCCATTGGGGTGCTTAAGTTGTTTCATTAAAATAACACTTTTAGGATGAGAAATAAAAAATTTTGAGGGTGTCCAAATACTTTTGACTGGTAGTATATATATATATATATATATATATATATATATATATATATATATATATATATATATATATATATATATATATATATATCACCATAACGTAGCTTCCTAGTGTTTTTCTATGAATATTGTTATGGTAATTGTTCTGTTTTGGTAATTGTTCTGTTTTGGTAATTGTTCCCTGTTTGGTACGTAAACTTTATGAATTTAAGCGAAGTATTAGATTAGAGCCAATGTAATTTTCATCATTTTACAGTTGAAATGACGAGATGTAACCGTAATTTCTATGCTAACAGTTTGTTCTATTGCATTTCTCCCTTGTTAACTTTCTTCCGGCTTATTGCTTTCCACTTAAATTTGATTTTCAAAAATATATTATAATCGTTAATCGCTATCTTCTGTTTTCTTAATTCATATTATGTTATTGTTCTCTCTCGTTAATACCGTTTTTTTTCATATTCTTTAGCACATAGTAACCCCCTTGCATCTTAGTGGCTTTATTGCAGTGCTTGGAGTGAAATTATTTTAAAAAAATATATGTATATATAATGGAATTACTATTTTATATTCCTAACGAAATCTATAAATTAATTATTTTACATCTTAAAAACGTTGAAAGCGTCAAAATATAATGAATAAAAATCAATAAAAATTCTTGGTAAGTCTAAGTTCGTCTTCCGACTCTTCTGGTTTTAAGTGTTATAATAAAATGGTGTACAGTAGGATTTTAATGATATGCCATGAGAGCAACTTAAGAGTCTTTCTAAAGTAGATTTTATCGTCTTAGAGATGACAAAGACGATAAAATCTACTTTGGAAAGACTCTTAAGTTGCATAAGTCTATTCTACGCCATCTTTATTCTAGCATTCGAAGCCTGAAGAGTCGAAATATATTTGCTAAAAGTTCTTGTGTTTGTTCTTTTAGTACGATATGTGTAAATTACTTTGCTTACGTTTTCGGATAAGAAACTGAACAGATATGGAGCTTTCGAGAAAAATAAGCTGAGTGAATAGGATGCGCTTTCTTTAAAAAGGGTATATAGAACATTGCTTGCTTTGACCTTTTTCGTAGCTGAGCGGTAAAACACACTGGATAGAAAGAGGGGTGCAGGTTCTATACCTACCGGCGAACACATTTTCTTTACCACGGCTTCTCGAATGTACAGGCCGATAGACGTAATAACCACTATTTAATAAATAAAAATAAGGCGTCTATTTGAAATACGAAGTATCCACTATAATAATGTTTGAAGTAATAATATATATGTATTTTGGTGACAATCCGTATCTAATACATGTTTCAATAAAAATGACTGACAAAGTTTTTTTTTTTCATATTTTGTTTCTCTTTTGTGTGGACAAAAGATTTATTGTTTTGGATTTAATACGTGTAGAAATTGTCCAAATGTTTGTTCGTTCCAAGCGCTTTCTGCCATTTTTGGTATTAGTCATTTTTAAGTATTTTTGATTGTGATATGTAAGTGCAATTGTTACACCTAATGATTACACACCATTTACAATAACATAATCAGACATCTCTCAAAAGGCTTAATAGTTTAGCCGAAAACACACAGAAGTAACTATAATGTGGTTGATTTCATGTCCCAGATATATATTAGGTCTCGGATAGTTTAATCTCTATTAAATAAGAGATCCATGTATTTAACCCGCATCACGTCTTGAAAAAGTTAAAACAAAAAATCAAAAACAAAAAGACAAAAAGAAAACATACATAAAAAGAAATCAAGTATATTTGTGTTGCTTCCAATTCTTTAGGAATAGCGGCAAAAAATTCCTCCGCCACAAATTTATAGATAAAATATACAAATGCATGCTAGGATCTCTTCTTAGTCAATAAGATAGTCCACTTCTCAGTGTCATCCAACTTAGTTCTGTTCTGTCTTGAAGTTAGAACGCCGCAAATGCTCATCTGTATCCCCTTTTGTGTGTTAACACCATTCGTAGTTTGTGACCTTTTTACCTTATTGCTGTTACTTTGTCTTGCATATACTGTTTGCTTACTCATTGTTATTCTTTGTCCTGTTCAAGATTATCAGGATGCCATACTTACAATTCTTTAACTCCTCTCCAAGGAGAAAAACAAATATGCGTATTGATTCGTCTCTTGTTATTGTTTATTGCAAACTTTGTCAGTTCTGTTTGTTGGACATTTCTGCCAATTACTTTTAACCATAGCCAATTAATCTACAATTTGTAATGATTTTCGTTGTTCATCTGGGCTAACAACTCATTTAAATTGACCAGTGTCGTCAACAAATACATTTAGTTACCATAATCAGGAGGTAGTAGATTTTTAAAGTATAGGTATACTTATATGTTTCATTTAATGTTCCAAATTGATGGAATTAACCAGTGCGGAAACGTGGATAGGGATTAATCTAATGAAAGACAATCCATTATCTTCACTGCTAGATACCGGCGATGATTGTGTTTGCAGGAGCTTCGGCCTAAGTACACTCCATGATAAATTTCAGTTTTTAAAGGTATAAATAAATCTATAACATGAAAAGATATTTTTTTAATAATATTTGCTTTTTTATTTAGAAAAGTTATTTAAGTTTTTATTTATTTATTTTTTGTTTTTAATCGATTAAACGTGAAAATGGCTTCTGTTCCGCCTGCACATTACATGAGCGAGTTGTAGGCTCATAAACATATGCGCGCACATGAATTCTAAAGCGAGTTTGATTACGTAAGCGAAAATCTACTTGGAATTATTTCGTATGTAAATAAACAAGTAAATAACAACAAATATAAATGGAAATTATATTCATCTTCTTTTTCTTTCTTTGTCTGTATCTCTTCAAATACCCCTTTCTTTCTTTCTTTCTTTCTTTCTTTCTTTCTTTCTTTCTTTCTTTCTTTCTTTCTTTCCTGCTTTCTTTCTTTCTTTCTTTCATAATGCTGCTTTCTTTCTTTCTTTCTTTCTTTCTTTCTTTCTTTCTTTCTTTCTTTCATAATGCTGCTTTCTTTCTTTCTTTCTTTCTTTCTTTCATAATGCTGCTTTCTTTCTTTCTTTCTTTCTTTCTTTCTTTCATAATGCTGCTTTCTTTCTTTCTTTCTTTCTTTCTTTCTTTCTTTCTTTCTTTCTTTCATAATGCTGCTTTCTTTCTTTCTTTCTTTCATAATGCTTCTGTCTTTCTTTCTTTCAATCAATCAATAACACTTGATTACTTCGCAGAAAAACAAATATGCGTATTGATTGGTCGCTTCGTCCCATGTTTCAGAAGATTATCAGGATGCCATACTTACAATTCTTTAACTCCTCTCCAAGAAACACGTGACAACCAGCAATGGCTGACAAAGAGTTGCAGAAAAGAATCCTTGATCTGATTCATTTATTCATTCAAATGCAGTTTAGTGTACATTTGTATGTATGCGTTTATACCAATCGAAGCGCTGAAAACTTCTTGTCCCGACCCCATTCCCTAATTTGGGTGGGTCGAGAAATTGTTTATATATATATATATATATATATATATATATATATATATATATATATATTAAAGGAGTGTTAAAGTTGAAAATTTCTCAACACATTTAGGGAATGGGATCGATGTCAGACGTTTTCAGCACTTTGATTCGTATAAAATCTTACAGACAAATGTACTCTGATTTACATTTGAATGAATAAATGAATCAGATCAAGGATTCTTTTCTGCTACACTTTGTCAGCCATTACTGGTTGTCACGTGCTTCTTGTAGAGATATCGCACATTGAGTGCTGGTGTTAAAATAGTGCTCGAAGTAATATAATACAGTTAGAAAGTAAATATTAATAAATATACATATTGTCCTTCACCGGTAGCATAACTCGAAGTTTCATGCACAATGCAATCTTCAGGTGTTATATAGTTTAAATTTTAATAAAACAATATCTGGTTAACGTAATGCTGACGCAGTCCATATATTATGCGGGAATTACTGGTTTTTATTAAACAAATACTGTATTTAAAGTAGACGGGATTTATATTTTATATTTCAAATAAACGGGGATAAATACTTTTATTTTGTATTTCAAATAAATGGGGATTAATTGTATTAAATATATATATATATATATATATATATATATATATATATATATATATATATATATATAAATAAAGAAAGAACAGTAAGATATATAATCGGGTGTTCTTATACATATTTTTATTTTTACAAAATAGTGCTCAATGTAAATTTACAGAGCATTAATATTATAAATTAATTGATTTAAAATATGGTTTTTTCCGCTACACAGTTCTAACCATGTTTCAAAAATAGAAGCTAAAAGCCCCGAATTTAATTTTGCAATTAAATTAGAAGCATTAGTTCCATTTCATCTTCAATCGAATTTTGGAGTAACTTTTTAAAAATTACTGGGTTTTAAAGACACAGCTAAAATCACGTTTCCATGGTTACAGAATATTCTACTTCAATTGGACAAGGGATGTCTAGGTTTTCCTTATGACAGTATCATTGTATCAGTTATTAGCTACAATTTGGTAAGGGGTAGGGATGTATTTTTCAATGAAAACTGACATCCGTTGAATGCATGTCGTCTGGATTTTTAAAAAAAATTTTTGTTAACGGTAAAAAAATGAAAAAAGAATATAGTATAATAAAAATTAAAAATGAGAATATTTCAAATCGTAGTTTAAATAAAAAGTATTATGATCTGAACACCCCCGAAAATCTTTAAATTTATAAATGGAAAAAAAATGCCGTAAGAATTTTTTTACCGTTAACAATAATTTAAAAAAAAAAATCCAGACGACATGCATTCAACTAAGGTTTTTACCACTAGCTTCAAGACAATCGGAGATATATTTATGAGAAAAATAGATAGGCCACTTCAGATGCCGGGATTTATGAAATAAATTGCCTGCAATGTAGAAATAGTTATACTGACGAGACATCAATGAATCTAAAAACCCATATATATGAACATAAGTGAGACCTACGTTTGGACAACCGTTGAAACTAGCACGTAACACACAGGAACAAAACTGGGCATAACTTTGATTTTATAAATACCACCTTAATTAAAAAGGAACATAATTATTTACGTAGGGAATGCTTCATGGCGATTCTGATAATTTTGTTACCATATATAAACAGACATTAAACCCATTATATTACATCACCATACATTATCTATCTATCTATCTATCTATCTATCTATCTATCTATCTATCACACGCATTAGAAGAAATTGTGTTGTTCGGACCTATACCAGTTGTGCTCTGTCATCTGTTGAGTCAGTAGGGAACATCAGCCTGACTGTTCACGGCGACGCGAATGATCTCTGCTTGACCAGGACATGATATTCGGTGTTAGATGGATAAGACATTTCTGAAATTGTGGGGATATCAGACATCGCTAGATCTACGCTGCTACAGTGTGCTTTGGGGACAGTCTCTGACCACGGGTCCTTGATTATCGTCACAAGAGTCGTCTGCCTAGTATCTAGTAACAGACAATGCAGTGACGATTCAGACCACTTTCCCATTCAATTCCAGAAGCTACCAGACACATATCTAGCACGTTAGTTCAGCATTCTTTAGCTTCCATGGACCGTGGGAGCAGTAGACTGGCCAGAGTATATCAACACCATGACACCGGACACAGAGCCTTATCTGGGATCGCGACGTCGCTAATTGAACATTAGAGAACTGGTAGCGTGTGGCGTGGTCTGGCGAATCTTGGTATCGTTGTGTCTGGGAGCTTTGTCCTCTATTCCACATGTTTTGATGGACGCTCGGGATGTGTTTCCTGGCTAATGAGTAAGTCTTTGAATGCGGCGTGTACTCTTGTCTTCGCAGATCCAGCGGGCAGGCTTTGTGTGCTGGATATTAACATAAAGGATAAGTCTCTTCGTCTCATTGAGGTTTATGCGCCCAATGATCATGCAGAGCGGCGGCCTGATTTGTTTCGGCAGATCGAGTCAATTTTTGACGATGTTTCGTCGGGTAGTTTTAGCGGGCGACTAGATTGCTGTCCTTGACCCCGATATAGATCGTATAGAAGTAAGATCGGATACTAACAATCGGAATGTGAAGCTATTTCGGGGCTTTATCGACAAGTTCTAGTTCTAGTTAAGAGAGTCGATGTAGGGCTCTTAGGTTGTCCAAGTTTCCATTCTGTAGTTTATTCGGATTATAGGCCTAAAGTTAGGATGCCTGGCAACTGAACGCATCGTTATTTGGTGAACAAGATATACAGGACCAGCTTCTGATGCTACAGCGGGAATTGACGGGTCTGTGGTTGGGAATAAATGGTGGGATTTATAGAAATCTAAAGTTAGGTCGTTTGCTGCTGATTATAGTCGTTAAATCAGTCTAATTAGGTTAGCACAAACGGTATGCGAAGCAAAATTGAACTGGCGATTAAATCCCGTGGTAGTGGGGAAATAGCCTTAGTTAGGGCGGAACTGGACTCCTTGCTTATTAAGAAGGATCAAGCTCTTGCAGTTAGGGCTAGGTTAAAAAGAATGTCTCCCGAGACAATGAATATGGCCGCTGAACTTGCGTTCAGTGCAAGTTAGAAATGCGTCCAGTAGGCATATCGTATGCATCATATTGCCGGATAAGCGGGCCGTGACTACAAACGGGGACATATGTGAGGCTTTTCATGACTACTTTCAGGATCTGTTCACCAGGGATCCCGGTCTGAGTCCTTCTCAGTTCGATGCCTATTTGTCCGACTTTCCTCGCCTTGAGACGGATAAAAAGACTGGGTGCGCGGGTCCCGTTACAGAGTCTGAGATCTGGGAAGCGCTGAAGCTGGTTGACCGGTACAAAACTTCCTTATGAATTGTACTTGAGGCAGTAGTCCGTTCTTATTCCATTGCTGGAACTCATTTACAACAACTGGGTGAAGCAGGGGTCTATAAATCAACACTTCACCAGGTGTGTGATCAAGAACGGTGGGGATGCGATAGGTAACTTTCGGCCTTTGACGATGTTAAATACAGAGTTGAAGATTTTATCCAATATCTTACTCAGCCGTTTGCAGAATGTTTTGTCTAGTCTGATTGGCTCTGAGTAAACTTTGTGAAGGGTAAGACTATTCAGGACAATCTTCATTTGGTACGCTTGATCATTGAGAAAGTCGACAGTGAAGCCGAGCTGATCAATTTAGGTCAGTCCAAGGCATTGACCATCGTCCTTTCCGACACCGATTTCAGGCCGTACTTATGCACTTGGATCCAGTTTCTGTATGCATCCCCGATACCAGTTCGGCCAGGTACTCCGCCTATGCTGACGACGTTTCGGTTCTTGTGTCGAGCAGGGCCGAGTCGGCAAAGAGATCAGATGGTACGAGACGGTCACAAGGGTCAAGATCAAACGCGATAAGTCTGTTAGCTTGCGGTTATGTGCGTGGAAGGGAGTTTCTCTTCTCAGGTCATTCCTCTGAACGGACGGACCGGACAATATACTCGGCGTTTAGTTTGGTCCCGATCTCTTGCTGGAAATGAATTGATCGTAGGTGAGGGAGAATGTCAGGGGATGCAGTTCGTCTGTAGTCTCGGAGTGTGCGTGGTTTTGGTCGAATGACTGGCTTTTAATTCATCCAAATCCAGTTAACTGATATTTTTGCGACAATTAAGGATTGTGGTCTTTTTTTATTATTACTAACACCATTTTGTTTAGTTTCCTGTATATATAGTACTATGAATATTGTAAGTATGCACAGGGTTTTTTTTTTTATTTTTAAATGTTATCCTATTCTCCCTCCCAGAAAAATTGTATATATGGAGATTAGTTAGGACTTTATAGAGACTTAGAGGTATTATGGTGTTTGTAGTAAGAATGGTAAGTAAGAATGTGGTATTTTGGTGCAAGGAATATTGTACACTTTTTTTTTTGGTCAGTGATTGTGGCTAGCTAAGTTTAAAATAAGACATATGATGACCAGCCTTTCCCATCCCTACTTTTGGCCCTGTGTCACATTTTTTGTATTTTTACAAAAAAAGAATATGAGTCCTTTAGATTCAGTTGAGGAGAATTTCTGAGGATGTAATGGCGGGTAGCCTAAGCAAGACTTAATATTATAACCGCTAGGAGAGAGTTATAACAGTTTACGATTATATTTTTTTTGTATTTTCTTTCAACGTCTCTACTTTGTTGCATTTGCTCTAAAATCATTTCAGTGCTACCTTACTCCAGACGAGGTTTTCTCAAAAGCTTATCCATTGTATGGTGACAGTTAATTGATTATTTGAACCGAATTTTTAAAATCATAACGATATCTTCGTTTTGACCTTGTTCAACATTTTGTCCTTTTGATACGTTGTCTTTTCGACATTATGCCCATTCATCATTTAGTTAGTTCGACTCTTTTTCTGTTCGACATTTTGTCCATTCGTCATTTTGTTTTTCGACACTTTGTCCTTCGACACTCTGACCTACTATCGTATATAAATATAAATACATATTTTCACATCTGTATACGTACATGCATAAATCGATATTTGTGACTTGACAGTACTATTTTGCTTTATTTTTTCTTTTGTTCTTGATGATGGCTGAATGCGTAAATTGTTCTAGATGAACAGAGGAGAAAGAAAGCGTATTTGGAATTAAAAAGTTGTCTTTAGTTTTCACAGAGGTTGCTCGTGTTCTTTCGAGTATATGGGTGTGTGCCAAAATGTCAATATGATTTAGAAATATGCGTCTGTATGTCTATCTATATTCAAAACATTGCTTCTGTCCCCAACCTCAGTCATGCTTTTAAGTATTTTCATCATTTTCTAATACATTTTTGAAAGTTCTGAGATGAAGTATTTTTATATTCATTATATTTTTCGATTATTTCATTTTTTATTTTAACTTTTAGCACCGTTTTCTTTAGATATGTTCAACACTAAAAAAAGAACATACACCCTGATGAAAAAAGGAAGCAAACTTGATTAAACAATTTTTTATCGTCTAAATGTTTATGTTATTATTAAGAGGAAATGCCGAGGTATTTTTAAAATATTAAAAAAAAAAATTTTAATCCTCAAATTTAATTTTAAAATATTTAACAACTTTATCACATTTTTGCATTTAAAATCAAAAAAAAAAAAAAAAAAAAGAAGAAAACAATTCTTGTAAAAATTCATTTTTCATCGAAAAAATATTTTGGCTTCAGATAAAAATGTCCTTAATATATATTATTTAGAAAAAGCTTTTTAATTAAATAATGTCTTAGTTTTATCGGGTTTTGTATTTTACAATTCGGAGCTAAAGATTGGGTAGAACAATTAATCGATTTATATTCTTCAAAGTCTTCTGCATTTAATAAAAACAAATACAGAAATTTATAGTTTGGGATTTTCAAGTTTCCATAAAATAAAGTAAGTGCAGGTAACAGATATAAAAAAATTACCATGAATTTCTAAAAAGCAAACATTTCTAAAATAATTTCATTCGTTTTTTCATATCTTTTTTTCATTCACTTAGAGAGGACACCATCAAAGTCACATGAATGAGGATTATTACAGTCTCCTATTAGTTAAGTTAACGCGTGAGCAATCGAGATTGGAAAAGACAAAAAACGAAATGATTTCTGAAGACTACGAAAGTGTAAGAAAGAGATGCATAAAAAAACAAAGAGAGAAAAAAAGAGAGCACTTAAGGATAATAAAATTAAAGTATAGAAACGTTAGATAAAAGGAGACGGGAGAAAGAGGAGAGAGAGAGTGTATGCAATTAAAAGGTTTTTGGTCGATTTCTTTTCTTATGGCTTAGCACCCATTTGAAGGTTATTTAAAGCCAGAATACATTCTCATATTTTAAAAATTTTATTTGGAGTTAGTAAAGTTTTTCTGATACGAGTCTTACTAATTTACCCATATCTGGAGGAGAAGAGGTAGATTCATGGGTTTCCCAAAGGTATTTGCGCGTAAGTGAATATAAGGAACCTGATGGGAATTCGAACTCGACTCTTTGATTTCCAGTTCCAAGCTGTACACCATCCGCACATTGAAGCGTACAGCACCTGGTATTCTCAACTGATCACTCACTGAACTATTGAACAGGCTCACCGTTGCTTAACTTTTATCGTACGGGAGCCGGTGTTTCAACATGATATGGCCATAAGCCTGCAATAAAAAGGAAATAATTATATTATATTATATATATATATATATATATATATATATATATATATATATATATACGAACACTTATTATTATCATTATTTTACTATTGTTATTATTATTAACAATAACAATTAATATAATTTATATATATATATATATATATATATATATATATAT